TTTTGTTGGGAAGGGACAATAGCATGGTGGGCAGTCACATGGTGGGGTGTGGTAGGGGCAAGAGCCATCATCACTGCTGGTGGCTTTCATTATTTTCTATTTTATTTTTACTTGTATATATACATTTATATAATTATGCCTTATTTGACATAAGTCTCTTGATATTTTTATTTATACTTATTTAGATTTTATTATTACCATTTATATTTTTCACTCTTTGTTATTATACAATATTGTGATGTGTGAGCTACTGTGCAGTCCAAATAATTTCCCTTGTGGATCAATAAAATTTGTCTAAGTCTATATTTATTTCAGCAATATATCTTACTTGAAAATGTGTTACCATCACAGGCCTAGATGAGGGAACATCACTGTAACATGGGTAAAGTTGTTAAAAGATGATTTGGCACAATATGTCATCTTTAAGTGTCTGTAAACCTCTAAAACAAGCTACAGCCTATAACTGTTCATGGAAGAATAAGTAACAAAGGAGGACACACACAATGGTCACCTTGTAATTTCTGCTCTGTGGCTGGTTAATCAAGAACAGTTCTGGTAAATCACAGTAAACTTCAAACCGCAAGTGACTCAGGCAGAATTAGGGCTGTTTTTTGCTGATTCACAAATGATCTCAAGGCTGCGTTTTAATCAGTCCCACCTGGGTCCTCACGTGTCAAGCGAAAAGAACTCTTCAGCATTTCTGCAATACAGTCTAAAATAAAAATAGCCATCTGAGCTAAAATTTGTTGCACATCTGAAGGACTTTTAAGACTAAATCTGAATACTCTGATCTTGTTGATCTGAGCATGGCAACAATATAATGACAGCATCTAATTATAGGAACCTTGTTTGAAGCTTGGAGCTACTGGAAAAAAACTGCAGGATTGCTTCTGTGTAGGATTTCAGCACACATCCATGTCTGAATGATGGGTCTAATTTAGTCTTTTCTCAGAGGAGTTTGGACCAGTTTGGCCTAAACGTGCTACAATAAAAAGTGTTAGAATTTTAAAGGGCCAATAGTATGTTATTTTTTGGTCTATTTTATAATGTTGCTTCCTCATCACAAACATACCTAGATTTGTGTTTATTTCATTCACACATGTTGGCGGAGTTCTTCTCTCAAACTGAAAACACTCTGTTCCACCTTGTGATGTCATGTCATGTGTAATACAGGAAGTGCTCCACGGTGTTTTTAAACTCCACACCTTCACTAGAATTATTTAGATGATTTCAGCCCTGGAATTGCCAATCTCTACTGAACTGAAAGTAAAAGCTAGCCAGACTGGTGCCACCTAGAGCCTCTGCTAAATTTTATTTCTCTCCAGTAACTAAGTCAGGAATTGGAATGCACTAGACCAGGGGTCGGCAACCCAAAATGTTCAAAGAGCCATATTGGCAGAAAAAAACAAAAACCATACTTGCCTGGAGCCGCAAAAATTTAAATCCTTATACAAGCCTAATATGAAGGCAACATAGGCTGTCAGTATATTAGCGATACAAGCCTATTAAAATGACTAAGTAGGCTACAAATACAAATGAGCATTCATGATTACACAAACCCCTTTTGTGACCCTGTTGATTCCTTTGTCATTTAGGCCCCGTTTACACGTACACGGGTATTTTTAAAAACTGAGACATTTCCCTTCGTTTGTACACATCGTTTACACGCAAACGGCGAATTTGCCTCTGAAAACGAATCTTTCTAAAAACTCCGGTTAGAGTGGAGATTTTGGAAAACTCCGGTTTCACGTTTGCGTGTAAACTGAGATAAACGGAGGTTTAGGAGCTGACGCGCTGAAAGTGCGACCGACGTTTACCTGTTGCTTTGACGACGATGATGGAAGCATTCAGAGCAGCAGTTGCATTTCTTCTGATCGTGCATAGGAGCACATGTAGAACTTTGTATGCAACTCCGTGCACATCAGCCCGGAGCAGAAGCTCTGAGCTCGGGCACCAGCACCAAACACATGGGACGCGGCTGGGGGTCCAGTGTTGGTCAGATTGTCCGGAGGCTTCATCCTCCATGTCCTGGTTCCAGACGGGAGTGAGCAAGACCAGCGCGCAAAGGACTGGGTCCGAGTGCTTCAGTGCAGTCATCTGTGCACTGGTTCCATGCGGGAAAAGCGAGAATGCACTGTGGACCACAGGTCCGGGCGAGCTGCTCCGGTCCTCTGCACTCGACCGCGGCTGGTTCCGAGGTGGTGCAAAGCATCCGGACAGAAGCGTGAATCCCATTTGGTTCGTTATATGTTGTTCTGAGCGGTCCGTCTGCACACGTGTTTTTTTGTTGTTGTTTTTTTTCGGGGAAAGCGCTTCTCAGGTGGAGACACCGAACACCAACCCCGCTTCAGCTCATCTATTTGTTCTGCTGAAACACTTTTCATGTATTTGCATTTGCACACACAGCTGATGGATCAGATCCATGACTAGAGATGAACGAGGGTTTTACCCCTACAGAAAACCATATTAAAACAACAACCAAAAAAATCATTCCTTTTCCATTTTCACTCATTTTTGAAAAAGCTCCAGGGAGCCACTAGGGGAGCATGCGGTTTGCAAGAACCCCAGAAGTGCGAGTCCAGGCACCAGCCAATCAGCGAAGAGCCATACATTCTGTGTTGGCAACGATTTCTGAGATCGAGGATTTAAAGCCGGAACAAAGAGAATGTTTGGTGAATTTTATCAAGGGGAAAGACATTATTGCCCTTCTTCCTACAGGATTTGGGAAAAGCTTAATATACCAGTTAGCTCCGTTAGTGGCGAATTACATATGTCACGACCAAATAGCAATGAATGGTTAAATTAAAAAGTACCCGCCTACCGTCGAGCGAACGAATTCTAATGCTGCGAGGTCAGACGGTTTCTACAAAGTGAAACCGTCTGAAAACTGTTAACTTGAAAACTGTTAACTTGAAAACTACTGCTTCATGACGTCACAAGTGGAACAAAACATTCGGAGTTTTGAAGACGTAGACAGACTAATAATAAAGGGGTTGAGTAAGATTTCCAGGAAACTCTACATGGGTACAGTATTACGTACCAAAAACTGTATTTAGGCTATAATCACATCTAATGAAAATGAGGATGATTTTCTAGGATTTCTTTTAAAAATACTGCAACAATTTGCTAGACCCATAAAAACAATAATTATGCTGCACTTTGGTCAAGAGGATTGGATACATTAGTGCTATAGGCTAACCTCAGAGTCTTAATATTGTTTCCTGGCTCAGATGATTTGTTGAATGTCTTTCCCACTCCCATGTTGTGCCACTTGCTGTGCTGACATGGCACAACAAAAAAAAAAAAAAAATGCAAATAATATGAACAAGATAATCATCCCGAGTCTCTGGATGTAAAATAATTTTCTGTGGTAGCATCACAATATAGTCATGAATATATAAACCATCCTTCCTCTGTAGTCTGTACATGTTCAAACCATCTCTAGTCTAACTTTTCTGATTTCATCCCAAAACAATACGAGCTGTGATATTCCCATACTGCTCAAAACTCTACTTCACCAGTTTTTTTTTCTTTTATATGGAAAACCAGACAACCTCAGTTACCCTTCACCAATATTAGACACACCACCTTTCAGACTGCAACAACTTAGAATGATGACCAGTTTTTGAATCATTTTCCTTCACACAAAAGTCCCAGACCTCAAAAGCTTCAAAGTTTCCAGTGAGAGCATGTTTCTATTCAAGTATTAGATTCTGTAAGCGGTGAAGTGGGCACAAGTTTGGGGAAAAACTGCTCAGTCATCGCTCGGGTCGGTAAAAACCTCACAATGCTTTGGGCATGAGGCTCACTGCGCCCACCGGAAAATGGGCTCTACAAACTGTGTCATGTCTTACTTTATCCAGGAAATGGGATTTTTGTGTCTACTGCCGGGCAACGTGGACAGTAGCATCGACAGCTGTGGATCTGGCAATGCATGGATGTGGTTTTAACTGTAAGTGAATCTGTGTGGTTAACCAGCCAAAGAAAAGAGACTTCACAGAATTTAGCTACCATTCACAACAACTACCATTAAACCTGGATGATAACTCTGACAAGTGTGGTCATTTATAAGGCTGTAGGTCTGGGACTGAATTTATTACACATAATAAAACACATAAAAACAACATTGCATTATTTGTGTTTCATGGCTTGGTTTTGCCCAGATTATGACTTGTTCTGAAGTCCTTCATGGGACAAATTAACAATCAGAATCAGAAAATCTGCATCACTCAACTTCTCCCAGTTGCTATAAAAACAAGTAACTTCACATACCAAATAATAATTTTCAACAACTTTATGAAGTAGTAGCATTGGGAAATAAATATGATAAACAGTTGTTGTTTCTAAGGTAATTTATTTTAAACCAGTGTCTCCCAAGTGTCAAAGGCAGCCTCTCTTTTTAACATGACAAATTATATGTCAGTTTTGAGTAATTTATCCTCACATTTCTGAAGCTATTTCAACCATATTGTCCCTGCCAAGAGCAATACTGTGAGCTCCAGAGACGACAGTGTCTGCTGTTGTGAACAGTGGAAAATACCAAGAAACAGATCTGTTGGTAACCAAAATTAAGTTGTGTAATATTAACAAGCCAAAAGTGGATTTTCGGAGCTTAAGGGACTTGCTAACAGTAGTCCTCCTGTATTACTAATAGTAACATAAATTGGGTATTTATGCATCACTCTGGGGTGGATTTAATGCTATCTGGCAACCTCAATACTTTTACAGGTTTCATCCGTTATTTCAGTGTACCGGTATAAAGGCATAAATAGGCAGCATTGTTTTACACCAAAATCAAATAGACGTTTTGATCTTTGATTAATTCTTTGTTCAACACTCACAAACAAGACACATTCTGATGAATTTAAATTCTGTTAGAAAATAAATGACTGTAAATGCTGTCAGTATAATTTCTGATAACTTAAAAATTCTAATTAAAATATAACACTTTGATTGAAAACCCAACTTGAAAACAACACAATTAAAAAAGCAACTGAACAATAACTTAACGGTCACATTTATTTATACAACAAACAAACATATGAAAACTCAAAAGAACATTATTGAATTTTACAGTGAATATGTGTCTATTGGACAATCTGGTGATATATTTTCTTTGTCCAATAAAAGTAATCTGGACAATAATTTGTTGGTAAATAAAGGTGCTCTGTGTAACTTTTTTGGTAGAGGGTCTGCCATGTGCTCGTTTCCATGCCGATTCTATAACTTTGCCTTTAATGTTCCACAGTATGCTTTTGGACTTATGTTCTAGCATTTATACAAATACGGTGTTTGTGCTCAAAAATGCACTGAAAAACATGTATTCTTACTATGAGTGGGGTTGCCTCTCCCCAGACCTGTAACTTTGCCTGGTAGACATGCTTAATGCCATACTGTGGAACTTTCAACACAAAGCAACAACACATCCATGGAGACAAGCAGGTGGTGGACCTTCCACCAGAAAAGTTATGCAGTGCACCTTTATACAGGTTAATACCAATAAGACCTCTTGTGCCTCCTGTTCTCCACAATGCCCATCTTTTCCATCACCTCCTCCTCCAAAGTCTTCAGTGAGGGTACATAAGTCTTTGCAAGAGCATCGTCAGGACTGGTGTCCTTGGGACCATCTGTAAAGCATAAAAGTCAGTTGTTTATAAAGAGAAACTGTGTATGGCAACATTGGCAGGGCACTTAGTCTGAAAAGGTGTCCGAGTTTAAGGAGCAAACTCGTTCCACTATAAATGTCCAGACCACAATGCATAATGACTGGCAATTGAAAGAGGTAGCAAACTGAACAATTTTCAGAGTAAATGATTTAATTGTTTTACCGTTATATTGCTAAGTCTAAAAATAAAAATGCTTATACAACAAAATCTTTTTTTTGGCATCTAACCTCAAGAACAGACAGAGATCATAGACTGTATATAGATGGAGTCTGGCACCAGTTCACTTTATACTGAAAACCGTTGCCCTTATCTCTGTAATTGCTGTTCTCTACATGATCCAGGTGTTTTTATTTCACTATTTTGTCCACAAATCAAGATTTGAACATAATAAAGGCAAATCAGGCGCTCCTGCTAGTGTTAGCAACAGGTCTGATTGACAGCGTTGCTAGACGGTGCGAGCAGGAAGGGACGTTACCTTCAACAGCCTCGCTATGGATTGGCTCTTTGGTTGCTATGATACTCATGGTGGGAATTCCTAATATGGAACTCGGCTCCAAATTCACCACAAGCTGCAATGAGTTTCATTTGACTGGAGCCAAACACTATGGGTGAAGCCACACTACCTTAGTTCACTTCTTTACAGTGTACAGCAAATATCAAATGCATACTGGGAGAGCCAGCGCCATATTAGGTTTGTTTTTTTCCTAGGGCATTTTTATTTTATAACAGGAACAGAATGTTATCAATTTAAGAACTGAAATGATGAAAAAATAATAATTTTGTGATTTTTTTGTTAATATTGGTTTATGTTTCACTTTCAACCTTTTTAATATTTACATAATACACATTGATTCCATCTCATACATTCGATATTAATAAAGAGCGTTTATAAAGTTATAAGTAATAAACTAATAAATAATTATAAAGACAACTTGCTATTTGACACTCCATCTGTACAAGATTCTTTCTTATCCTGACCTTTCCATTGTTGTGGGACGATGCCATCTCTTCTCTCCACCACAGGTTTGGGGATGATTCGACCTGTTCTGAGAGAGACACGCACCTTCTCTCCCTCCTCCGTGAACCTCCACTCTACTTCTGCGGGTTTCCTATAAAAAAATAAACATATATACTGTTCATATAAAAAGATATGGAAATGAACATTTAACACAATAAAAAAAATAGTAATAGACTGGATAATACCTGTCAGAGGGGTCAATAAGGGCCACATCTCGGACCAAGAGAGGAGCTTCTGTGGCGATGTAGGTCCCTCGATAATCTGGGGTTTTTCCAACATATCTGTAATGCTGCAACAATTGGAAAAAAAACAAGCGTATTTAAGTGTAGTGAACCCATACTAATCAAGTTAATTTGCAAGTATAAAATGTAACGAGCATAATAAAACCACTTTTGTGCCATCTGGTGGTGAACCATCAAACAACACAGTTATGTTAAAATGTGAATAAGTATTTGGTTGTAATTAGGCCCGTCACAGTAATTATTATATCGACTTATTGTTCAGTATATGATAACTGTATTTTTAAGATCAATATTTATCATTGGTACATTTTCTTTGCAATCATGGTAAGATTTTTGTAATTTCTGTTGTAATACGATAAGATTTGAGCTGTAGGGTTGAATAAATAACTTATATGGCAAATTATTGGTTCCTTATGCACTTTACTGGCTGCAGGTCATGCCTTGCTAAATGATACTGTTTAAAATTGTTTACTGTGATTATGCTGCTTCATTTTCATTGTGTCAGTGGCATAAAATAGTTTCATTCACCGTTTATCACGATGATTCTCTGCATCAATATATCATGCTACAAAATCATGGCAGGTCTAGTAATTGCGCAGTTATGTAATTTATTATTATTGCAAACTGTTAAAAATGTTGTGGAAATATACTCAGTTAAAAAAGACAATAATACTTTCTTATTATTACATGAGTTATTACTTCTGTGATTAAACAACTATGATAGAACTGTTGACTGAGATCCAGAAAAAGGAAATACAACAATAAAACATTATCGGTATCCTTACTGTATTGAGCCCCTCCAACATAACCCAGTTTCTGTGTCTGAAAACTTGGATGACTTTTCCTTGTTTTCCTTTGTCTTTTCCTGTGAGAATTTCAACCTAGGAATAAAAAATGTAACCATAGACGTTTCTTCACAACAAACAAAATCATCTTATATTTCGCAGCACTGAATAAATATATGTATTTTCTTACCCTGTCTCCTCTGAACACACTCCAGTCTTCTGGGGCTATGGGCTCCACAAACACCTTCCTCCGTTTCTTACCAGGGGGATTCAGTCTCTTTGCCGCCTGAGTCCACGGTCTGTTTGTGCCGTAACGATAGTCTTTGGGCACCACCACCCTCATAGCCATCGCCAACAACGTGGTCAGCCTCATTGTGCTGCGTAAAGAATAATATTATTACAAGTTTAGGATCCACTAAATCCACTGTCAGTCAATGAGGCTAAGCACAGTTCATGCTAACAGCTAACAATTTCATCAAAGTTTAGCGTTAGATTACTGTACTTGCCCAATGCCGTGTAATGTCAGGCTTTATAGTCTTAAACTCCATTCATATAGACTGAATTTAAAGTTAATTCGACTTAAAATAAGGTAAAATGTTGAAAACAGTACATGCACTACCTGTCCTCTCGTGATGCCAATGTCACATGGAAACACAACAAGAAAAACACTGACCTCTACTGGCCAGGAGGGAAAATACATAAATACGTTACAATTTCTAACGTAGTAAGTAATTGATAGTATCAGAGGTAATTCAGTAAAAAAGGTAAATTTACAAAACTAAACTACTTTCAGCCTTCTTCAGGACTTTTATCTTGTAAAATGTTTTTGGCATATAAAGTCGGGTTTCCTCTAAAGAAACCTTAACCGCCCCGGATAAGCGGACGAAAATGGATGGATGGATGGATGAAACCTTAAAGGTGCATTGTGTAACTTTTCTGGTGGAGGGTCCATCAAATGCTTTTCTCCGTGGGAATGTTATTGCTTTGTCTGGAAAGTTTCACAGTATGATATTAAACCTTTCTATCTTCATGGAGATGAAACCAAACCATAGTATTGGTCAGATCTGTGGAGAGGCAACCCTGGCCACAGTCAGAATGCCTATTTTTCCTGGTATTTTTAGCTGCAAAACGACCTGTAATTTAATAAATTTAAGGTAGAGCTGTTTAATGTCATAGTGTGGGACATTCCAGGCAGAGCAATAACATCTCCATAGACAAAAAATAAACAAGCAGGTGATGGACCCCTACTAAAAATTACACAGTGCACCTTAAAAAGCTGTACCAAATAAAAACAGAAGTGTCAATATTAAGCATATCTCAAACAGGAAAAAGAAAACTACATAGGCTACATGTGTAGTAACCATTGTTAACATATGAGGAAGTTTATGTAGAAATTATTTAAAATCTTTATCCTTAGGGTGTACAATTAAACATATGTTTAGCCACACATTTGCTAGCCTTAAACTACACAAATTATGCTGATGCATAGAGCAAAAACTGACTTTTCCCATAAAGACACAATTAAGGTAAATATCACAAAACATTTTTATTTTATAATCAACAGGTTTATTCAATGGTCTAGCAGCTCTAACAGAAAACTAAGCAGCATATAAGGTTCAATGGCAGCTTTGAAAACGTAAAACTAAACCAGAAACTGCTGTGAAATGTTGATTCTGTACAATGCAGTGATCCAAACACGGGCATAATCTTGAATATTGGAAGATGTTGAAAGAAAATCCAAAACAAACCGCTAAACCAATTGTAGATTTCAAGTAACATTTTAACATAATAACTTTGGGTTTCAGATAAATTACATATTACAAAAGAAAAGAAAAATAATTAGGCCTTTCCAGTTAATATATTTTCTCTGACAAAACATCATGACATTTTTGAGTGGTGGTTTTGAACATTTCTTAACACCAAATTATTATAACTGTTCATAATTTGCTTTTAAATAAAACATGAAGGCCAAGCTGTAACACAATTAGGAATGTCTTCTACTTTAAATAACATCATGATAAAAAACAATAAAAGACTATCTTTGAGCCTTACTTTCTTATCAAATGGGGCTTCATATATTAATTGGATATATTAACTATGCCCAGTCCCCAGATGTAAAACAAACAATTTGGTCACATGCAAAAAAGCACTACATCAAAGCAAAAACACAATTAACAAAATCTAAGCCACAACTGACTTTGAGCAAAGAGAGTAAAACGTCTATAAGTGCAACTTATCATGTACTAAGCAACAATACATGGTTTAAGATCAGCAGAGAAGTCAGACAGAAAAAAAAAAATATTAAAAGCACTTTTATGAATGAGTGAGTTTTGCCTGTACAACTATAGGGCACACCAAGATTAACATCCTTAATGTAATTTATTTAAAATCTGGGTCTTATTTTCCATATTCAGTGTTTATTCCCTCTAAAATTCAGATTTATGACACCTTTCAAGTCCTAATGCAATTGCACTTAAAAATAATAATATATACACACCTAAAACCACATTATAAATGAGCTCTCTGACTTATGTTTTTTTTTTTTATCAGATTAACAAACTATTATTCCTGGGATATATAATATCCTCAAATCGCAAATAAAAACTTGTTTGTTTAGATACAAACATCTTTTTATATCCTCTTGTTAATTAAAATGGTTCAAATGTGAAGAAAACTCTTTTGACGTTTCGATAACCACAGAAAAGCACCTTTTTCCAGTCTCTCCACAAGTCGACGTTAAGCATTGTCTGATGCAGGCTGCAGGAAGAATGAATCAACATTTAGAACAAACAGAAAAATAACCATAACATCTCATTATCGTGTCACCGTGTAATATCAGAGTTATCCAAACCTTTTCTGCAGTGGGGGCGTTTTCCTCTTTAGATTCACTCGGTGTTGAGTCTTTGGGTCCGTCCACATTGTTTACTTTGGGCTCTTCGCTGGACTTGTCCCCATCTTCTTTTGAATCCTCTTCTTTCTGTGCATCTTTTTGCCGTTTGGAAGATGCCTAAAGGTGATATGAGGTCAGTCAGTTTCTGTTAAACACATGTGTCTACATTGTCTTAAAAGGTTTCAGGTGTCAGTAGAACATTCTATTTTTTCACGTGGAGTTTGAATAAATGTAGAGGAACAACTGCCATTAAAGGTGCCGCAGTAAGAATGCATGTTTTTGAGCAGGATGAATGCCTGTAATTAATTAAGGGCAAATTTAATGTCACATTGTGGAACATTCCAGGCAATGTACTAAGATCTCCATAGACAGAATCAGGTGTGGAACCTCCATTAGAAAAGTTATACAGTGCAGCCTTAACAGCAAAATCACTAGAAGAAATTAGTACTCTTATGTACTTTTATGATTGATGATATAATAGAAATATGAAATCATTCAGGGATAGGCCTGCAGATGCCAACCCTCAGTTTAAGACGATTTTAGAATCTAACGACTAATTCCCAAAGTACATAACTAAAGCACTACTTGCGACTGACCTCCGTAGTATCCTCTGCTTTCCGTTTGTTTCCTCTTTCGTTCTTTTCATCAATGACCAGAGCTCCTTCGTCTTCATCACTGCTCCCTCCTTTCTCACCATCACCAGTCGCTTCAGATGCATCATTGTCTTTCTTTGAAGCCTGAGGCAAAAACAATAACATGACAAGATTAAACATTTTTTCAGTTTTTAATCATTAATACTTGGCATTTGTACTTTCTGAAATAATTTGGAAGGTTATTATTGTGATTAGACATTGCACTATGGGGAATAGCAAACTAAAGTGAATGCAAGCTGTCTCCAAAGGCATTCACGCCCAGCCTGTTATCAGAGGAAACGCCTACCTCATACTCCTCATGTGTAACGGTAGGGTTGTTCTCAATCTCCCATAGTCCCTCTGCAAACCCTCTTCTCTTGTTGGCTTTTCCAAACTTCTCCTTAAATTCTTCATAAGGGGACAGGTCTTTGGCACCCAGGAATGCCCTGTAGTTAAAAAAACCCACATTATTACAAGAAATAGAACACTAATATTTAACTGACAGAAAGGCTACAAAAAAATGTTACTCACGTTTCATGTGTCCCAAAGAAGAAGACCTGGTACTTGTTTGAGGGAGATTTCACAGCTCCTTCAGGTAGCTCATCAATCTGGAAAAAGACATTCATAACAGTGTCATACAATAACAAGAGATATTAAGGCCACTCTTTTCTGCTTTGTTGTTATTGGCATGCTTCAATCAGAAACTAACAATACAGCCTACTTATCAAAAGAAAAAGTATTAGTAAAACACACTCACTTACACGTTGTTGTACAGGTCAAACAAGATTTTGTGGAATTACACTGATGACCCAAGTCAAGTGTGAGAATCTTGGGTGCTGTTTTTCGTAATATGATAATAATAAAACCGTCAGAAAGAGCCTACTTGTTGCTAAACTCGTCAAGTTTTAATGCAGTTTAAAGGCTGGCCCTAAACTCAAACAGCGCAAAGGCTGTGGAGCTGCGCAGCCCGGAGCCTGTCCTCGGAAAGCCCCGCAGTGAAGCCCCGCCGCGGGGAGCAGGTCTGCGCTGTCATGACCGCAACACGCAGGTGACGATGTGCGATAACAACTATTTAGGGCCACGAAGATTAGACCTGGCCTACGATAAAAGGCCCTTAGGGACCGAGAGCCAAGTGTTGGTGACTGAAACGGCCCGTTCATTTAGAAAAGAGGAGCTGTAGATATGAGCTAAAGAGCGTTTCCTGAACACGGAGAACCACCCGAAAGTAATTAGTCTCTGAGTTGAGCAGAGTGCCATTAGCTGCGTGTTTGCAGCACATGGCTAACACCGGCTAAAGCTAACTCCTGTTAGCCAACTAGTGTCAGGCCGCAGGAGTAAACTATACTAGACACCAGGGAGGACTGCGACTATTACAAACGCAGAAACCACACACAGACACGACTGTTCACTGCACCAGCACTTACCCTGGCAGGCCAATGAGGATAACCCTTCATTTTAGCAAACACAAGATCTCCGGGTTTATATTCCCTTTGCCGGTTGGTTCTGGGCATTTTTTTCTTCAAAACAGCAACAGTAGAAATCAATATAATAGATAGTGGTTCTTGTATGCAAATAGACAATCACTTGCTCCAAAAACTGAACCAGTGAATGTCAAATCCTCCAGGCGCCGAAAAGTGGAGTGCGACTTTTTCCCGCGGAGTCGGACCAATGAAAGCAGCGATAAAAAACCCCAGCACTGTGCAAAAGAAATAACACAATTTCTACAACAAAAGAGCCCAGAGACTGTTGTTTAATAATTACTACACCCCCGCATTAGCTCTTCCCTCCGACTGTTTGGGTTTGAATCGGAGTGACGGACGCGCCCCCAAGACCTGGTCCAAATTGCGCCCCCTACCGATCAGAGCACAAGACTGCACATGACTGGAAAAATATAAGGACAGGGACAGGTAATGCTCCAGGTCTATGCAGTACATCTGTTATCCATTTCTATTCTATTCTCTAATACAATTAAAAGTGGGTTCTTGAGTTGACCATTATGTTCTATGTGCACCATAGCATCTGTTTAGTTTGGGGACATGTTAGAAAGAAAAGATTCATGTGGTTGGCAGACTGGCAGATGATTTGCTGAATGGGAGGCAACCAAAAAGAAATAGTGGGAAAACATGTGTTAACATGCGTTTGATCTATCCTTCAATGCTGAACACAGCAATGAGAACACAGTGCCATACACAAGGACCCCTCTCCAAATACTTGGCCTTGTCAGCCAGAAACCCCAGAATACTCAGAGAAAACCCACCAAGACACAACGAGAAACAAGCAAACAGCACAAAAGGCCCCTGCTGCATAAGTCAAACTCAGGACCTTCTTACTGCTGTGAGGTGAGAGCCCTTACCATTCAGCCACCGGGACAAGTAGCCTAATGATACAAAAATTTATTTTATGAGCTTGACAAGCCTATTAAAGCTCTACACTGTCTTCATTAGTTCATCATTCATTCAGTAAGTCTACTTCTGTAGCCACAGCTGCCCTGGGGTAGACTGATGTAAATGACCAAGCGAAGCTGCCAATCTGTGCCATCAATCGCCACCACCAGTAATTTAAACATCGTCATAGTGGGTGAAGTGTCTTGCCCAAGGACACAACAATGCACTTCTTGTCAGTTAAAATACTAAATATGAAATAATTTTTCTAGCCACTTTCTGACAGAGGCAGTAGCAGACAGTTCAGTTTGAATTTGACTGATATTATGCTTTATGCGTACTTCCACTATAATGTATATAATGTGCTGCCACTTCACTCCACGGCCACTAGATGTCCCCACATTTTAACAGACACCGTTGGTCTAAAATGAAGAAGGAAACCTGCGCACAAACCTGCGCAGAACACACATTTATCTGTCAGCGATGGAGGCTAATGTTTTGATGTTTTGATGAAGCTTGGATGCTAACTAGCGCGATTTTCTTATCGTAATATAACCTTAAACGCGCTGTTAGCTGTCGTCTTTAAAGCACAACTGCAGCTCTATTAATCCAACCATCTGACCATAAAGACAGTCAACTTGGAGATATCGCTGCATTAGCCGTTTAGCTAAAGGAGTGTTGCATAGTCCTGATGGTTCATTGAATGTGTTTTGTTCTTAGTTTAGAAAGATAATCCATGCACATTGCTTTTCGATACGTATTTTAATATCTTAGTGGTATCCTACCTTCATCTTGATCCAGAGCCACGGAACACCATTGTTAGTGGGCTTGTTTCAGCGAGGAGAAAAAGAGGTTCTTCATGTGCACAGGTCATAGCAATAAATTAGCATTTAAAACCATCAGAAAATATGTCTTTAGTCGCTTATGGCAGCAGTGATGAAAGTGATTCAGAAGAAACCTCCAGCTCGCCTCCGCAGAGTAAAGGAGGACTCTTCTCTGTCCTCCCAGCTCCTAAAAAGACGAGTGCTGTCAGTACTGGACCAAGTATAAAACCCACAGCAAAACCAAGCACAGGGTCTGGGAATAGCGTTTCCAACGATGAGTCCATCCCTCAGCCGCCTAAAGGAGGTCTGTTTGCCAGTCTGCCCAAACCCAGAAAGCGAAATGAACCTGTCAGGATTACTGCACCTCAGATTCAGAAACGGGACGTGAGTATTTGCCTATTTCTTTGTCGTATAACCCAGATGTTCTGTCTAAGTATTCACTTTGTGAAATGCATAATTTTACAGTCGGACTCAGATGATGATGAACCAACAAGCAAGAAAAAAGTTCAGGTAAGCTTGCAAATTCAACTTCATTGGAGATGCTTTCTATTTTTAGTCATTTAACATCAAGTGTACCTGTATTTCAAATGTTTACTGAAATTTGTAACTTTTCTTGTGGGACTGGCACCTGCCTGTTTTCAAAGAGATGTTATTGCTTTACCTGAAATGCTCCATAGTATGGCATTAATCTGATCGATCTTACATTGATGTGTGTTTTTAGTGCCTGAACAACATGCAGTATGTTAGTGTGTGGGGTTGCATCTCCTCAGATCTGGCCCATAACACTGTCACTTCACCTTGTAGTTTCCATGGAGATATATGTTTAATGCTGTACCATGGGACATTCCAGACAAAGCCATAACATCTCCATGTATACAGGCAGGTGGGGAATTCTCTGCCAGAAAAGTTTCATTGTGCACTTTTTAATATTGCAGCATTTGCTGTATTGTACATATTTTTTCTTGCAGGGAGGAGGTGGTACAGGCCTGTCTTCTCTTCTGCCACAGCCCAAAAACATGTCAGTTAAAGAGACTGACAGACCATTGATTCCTTACACACTCACCAAACGACAAGAGCCTAAAGCAGCCAAACCGAGCGCTCCCTCTGCGTTGCTCAGTTCCAGTGCATCTCCCTCTGCCATCAAAGCTGCTGCCAAGTCTGCCGCCATGCAACTCGCAAGACAAATTGCGAGTGACGATCATGACGAGGAGGAAATAAGCCCAGAGAATTACTTTTCACTTGAAAGTAACTCTCAACTGGCTCCCGCTGCTGTCCCAGAGGTGGAGAATGAGCCCAGACCTGTGATTGATCCTGTTCAGTTTGCAGCATCAGATGGACTGGGTCACTCAGATGCACCTCTAGATTTTGGGGCAAATGCGGAGGAAGGTGGGGCATGGGCAGGGCAATACCAGGAGGCTGATCCAGAAGCTTATTCTCAGGTAATAGATGCCTTATTATGTCTTAAAAATAAATATAAAAAAATCTTGAAAATCTTTTAATAGCTTATGTTCACATGATAGCGTCTATGCAGTTAAAATTGAACTGGAGGGCAGGACTTTTTACCTGTCAGATGGCAGATGTTTTGATCTTGTTTATGGTTAAGACCTCTGTAATTACTGCCTCAGAAACTGATGCCATTATTGAACACCAGGGACGTGTTTGTCGTCAGTTGAAAGGACTCTAAGACGCCCCTGCATCCATATCAAATTATGACATAATCAAATTCTTAAACACGAATGAAACCCATTTTATTTTACATTACATTATGATCCATTTATACTATTCATATTTCTTTGATATTTTGCTATTTACAGGGATACTATAATCAGCCATATTATGAAGATCCTAATGTTGACCAAGGAGAGACTGGAGAAACTGGAACAGAAGAGCCTGGCAACTCAGCCATGTTTGATGAAGAAGCAGTAAGAACTTTGATTTATTTGCTTAGTTATGTAGTTTATTTTGGTTCACGTTATTATGAATAGAGATAATAATCATCTACTGTATCCGTGTGTAGTTCATGAGATTGCAAGGGAAAAGAAACAGAGGAAAAGAGGAGATAACCTTTCTGGAGATTAAAGGTGATGACCAGTTGAGTGGGACACAGCAGTGGTTGACCAAGAGCATAACAGAAGAGAAACAAAATCGATCGTCTTTCAGCAAGGTATCCTGAATATAATTTTTTCTATTTATCAGTTTGTAAATTAAAATGTCTAAATACATCTGTTATATTTTTCAGAAAAGAGGAGGAATGCCAACTGGACAACAGAGACGCAAGCACCAAATCACATATCTTATTCACCAGGTGATTTATAGAGTTTCTGAACATTTTAGACATATTTTGGCTATAGTTACATTGTTAGCTACCTCCATTTATGTATACAGTTTATGGCCCTATGTGACTGTTCCAAGCAAAACTTAAGCGTAATGTTAAAATACACCCATATATAAAACTTGCCAGAGATTACAGTATTAATCTGTAATTTCATTTCAGGCAAAGGAGCGCGAGTTGGAACTAAAAAACAGCTGGGCAGAGAACAAGCTAACTCGAAGACAAACCCAAGCCAAATACGGCTTCTGAAACCTCCAAATGATGGACTTTTTATGGATAACCCACTGGTTTACCCTTTTGCTGTTCAGATTTCACCTCTAATAGGAGACAGGTATACAGATCTAGTTAGGACTATAGTATTTACCCTCCAACCTGTATTTGTGTGAGATAGATATTCATTTTTGGTAACATATTTGATAGTGTTCCTATTGTACATTAAACCACACATATTTACAGTATCATATAGGAGATAAGTCTGTTTTCTAAAAATGCAATGTACATGTCTGAATTCAGTTTTATCTCTGGCAGAAATAATGTAAAGTGACCCAATAAGACATATATTAATTGAAAAGCCAAAACATTAATGTTTTGGCTTTAAATATGTATACAGACTATTCATATTAACTAACAAATCCCTTTTTGTGAGAACAGGTTTGATTGTCTGGCAATGCATGCTTGTGGCAGCTGGTAACAAACTGTAACATTTGTACAAATTATTTTTAAGAACAGTACATTTATAATAATCTCTTCTTCACATGATCAGAGTATAGATGTTAATATTGTAAATAAAACTGCCAGAGAATCAAGTCTGTCATGGTAAATGTTTCCTTTTGACAATCCTGTTTTAGCTATATATTGTCTGAACTCAAATTTATACTAAAGGTTAACTGTCCATTATCATAAATAAGAAAGCATTGATAAGCACTCAGTTTGATCTAAATATTGAGCTAGCTGCCCTGTCTTCATTTACAAAGGCCCTGCACAACCTCTTTGGAAAAAGAAAACTACATAAGGCAATACACATTTGTACGAAACATTTGAGCATATGAGTTTATTATTGTTGTGTTGTGAAAAATAAACTTTTTGAGAGCGTTTGTTTTATTTAAGAGTAGTTCCTGATAATGTAGCCATTAACTTATGATACATTTTACACCTGTGTTGGATTATTTACACCATTTTTGTTTTTTAGAATTCATTCTTTCTTGGGGCTGTCACTTGACGGAGCTGTTGTGACATCAGGGGCTTCATTCACAGAGTCCAAGTCAGATGGGACGGTCTTTAAATCATTGTCCTCTCCAGAATTAGGTTCAGTGTTGGTCGACTCTACCTGCTGTAGTCTTTTGGCTTTTAGCTTCTGAGCACTGGCAGAAAGGTCTTCATATGGTACAATGGACAGAGGGATTCGCACAGTGTCCATTTTATTTACCTGAGAAAAATCAAATACAATTTTAGAGGGAATTTAAATACACATTAACAATATAAAAGCTGGGTTACCAGATTGTAAAACTGTGAAAAGAGAAAGTATGTATTGAAATGCATCTCATCACACTCACTCCTTCCCAGGTTTCACAAACCCTTTAGTATATAGCTAGTATTCACATGCATGCATCACATTTTGCTTTAGAACAGCTTATAAAATAACAAAACAAAGCAGGGTAGATCACCATTGTACACCCAACAATCTCTACAGCAAAAGCATTTAAGGGACACACATCAATAAACAGTGAACAAGTCGTATTTTGTCATAAAAAGCTGCTTTTACAATACAGTATAAAGAAGGGTATTTTCACAATATAAAATCAAATACTTCCACTTTAAATCAACCAGTTTATATTACCATACTACTTAAGAAGCAAAATGGCTGTAGAAATACTGAGAATGAATTGACAAACCCACAGCATCAGCATTTTTAGATACAAACTCCAATTATATGGTTTGCACATTGAGAGTAAAAGCTGCGAAATATCTTACCGTCACTTCACACCAATAGTCTCCCAGTTCCTTGATTGGCTCTTGTTGGAGGGTCAGCGCATGGGGCGGCACAACCAATAAAAACTTAAACGGTAAGAAAAAAACAAACCAAAGTTAAAACAAAGAATTATAAAAGAAAAAAGTCTGGAAAAGAAATGTTACCTTCTTTTGAAACTGTCTGCAAACCACTTCTTTGGTAACTTGGAAATCCTCTGTTGGCATTTGGTTTATGTTCAGTGTTATACGTTTAAGAAAATCGACAGTCTGTAAAAGCAAAAAAACATGCCAAGATTCTTATAATGTTAAAAATATTCCTTTAACATTATACATTATCATTTATTCGTACCATTTGTCCTGTTCGGGTTTGTGAACTTTCTTCAGACTTCCCCTCTTGTCGCAGCTGTGGAATAAATAAGAGAGTTGTCTGTATTAAAATGTTACAGTAAAATATATTTGTTAATGCATTTTATACCATGATCAGTGAGAAAAGACCTTTTCACAACGGCCGGAAGTGCCCCACTTTAGGTTTGCAGAACTTACGGTTAATGGTTTTCTATGGCAAAATGTCTGTGGAAATGCCTTGTGCATTTTCCACTAGCTTAATAAATTTGCCCCATTACCAAATCTCCAACCAACAAGATCCACAAAGAATAAACATTCTTCCATGATGAATTTATCCACAACTATCAAGGTAAGAAAGACAAAAGCTTAGAGGCGAACAACGACTAGCATTAGTAAACTACTCCTGAGCAAAACTAACATTATGGTAATGAATAAAACATAAGTAAGTAAATTAAAGTCAAATTAAAAATCGATTTCATGATATTGATAGATAGATAGATTTGTACAGTTCGAATGCTAGACATCGCTAACATACCATACCACTAGTTTTGCTCAGAAGTAGTTTTCTAGTCGTTGCTTGGCTTTAAGCTTTTGCCTTTCTTACCTTGATAGTTGTTCATGGAAGAATTTATGTCCTTTATGGACATTAACCATTAACCATTGTGAAAAAGGTCTATTCCAATGGCTTAAACGGCCGTGCGTTGATACTGCAAAACACACAAGGAGTCTGGCAACAGCCAAATCACTGTTCTATATCACTGCTCTGCGGCTATCACCATGACATCCCCATAGCAACGGGTAAACAAATGTTCAACTACTATGGATATGATGTAGTAGGGCTGGGCGATATGGATCAAAAAATATATCTCGATATATTTTGCTATATCTCGATATACGATATATATCTCGATATACGATATATATCTCGATATATGTTCAAGAAAAAATAACCCCCTAAAACTGAAAAGAAATAATACATATTTCCTTCTTTTCATTCATAAATAAAACAACTCAACACAAGCTCATCTTTGCATTAACTCTGTTATCCAAACCAGAACCATAACCATGAGCTCATTTAGCAGAGGAAGCTCGGGATATTCCTTATTTTAATAGATCCATATCCAGCAGTAAGGAGTTCTGAGGTTTAATCCCACAATCCACTGCAGATCAAACCCAACGTTTCCAAATACTATTGTACAAGTGACACTGCAGCAGATTATTAATTAAAATATTCTGCATAAATAAACTTTACATTGTTAAACTTTACAAGATATAAAGGATAACGACTATAGAGCCACATCAGCCCGTTTGAGATAATAATGTGTTTAATGCAGTTTTGCGCACATGTGTTTACATTTTACAGAAACGAAACTTAAGCGCATGGCTCATTTGCATAAACAGCGCACTTCTCATGCAGCTCAGCTCGTTTAGCTTCTTTCGGGCTAAAGGACGCGACTCGGTGGAATATGAGGATGTGCTGCTGATGGTTTTGTCTGTAAATGATGGAAAAGGTTCGTGGTGCTTGAAGCTTTTCACTGGCACCAACTTTCGGCGTTCAGGGCGATAGTGAGGAGTGAAGGAGACACGAGCGAACAAAATCAGGGAGGCGGGAGCGCGCGGAGGCGACGAGAGAGAAGATAAACATGCGAAGCGGCGAAATCAGAATTGAATATAAGCATTATATCGATATATACGATATGTCAGAATTCATATCGAGTTTAAAAACTATCTCGATATATTTAAAATATCGATATATCGCCCACCCCTATGATGTAGTACCTAGGATCATTAAAAATAACAGATTTTTTTGGACATTTACAGACGAGGAACAGGTTTTTCACATTCACAAGTGAGACATTTCAGTTTGCAGCCATGGTTTAAGCACATTATACAACTTGGAGCTGTGCGTTGTGCAGTTTTAACGCACTGTAATGCTTTTACATATCACTGCTCTGCAGCAATCATCATATCACAATATCAACAGGTAAACACATCCTCAACTTCTCTGTGTAATATGAAAAGACTAGCTCCATTTAAAACACTGAAATAACTGATGTGAAACATTTACAGACAGTGGAAAAGCTTTTCACATTCACACGTGAGACATTTCAGTTAGTAGCCATGGTATAAGCACATTAAACAACTTGGGGCCTCGTTATTTAATGCTTACAAACTGCCAAACGTACCTTTATCTCCTCAGCAAACATTTCCTTGTTTTCTGGTGAAGGATACACTGCCATCCCTTGTGCTAGCAACTTATTACGACCAACAGATTTCTTCACAAACACTGTATCCCCTCTTCCACCAAGCTCTAGAAGACAAATGATTCCATATTAAAAGGTGCATTGTGTAACTTCCTGCAAAGATGTTATTGCTTTGTCCAGAATGTTTCGCGGTATGGTATTAAACCTTTCTGCCTTCATGGAGACCAAACTAGACCAAGTTACAAGTCAGATCTGTGGAAAGGCAATCCTGCTCACAGTCAGAATGCCTGTTTTTCTAGGTATTTTGATCTATAAAACAACCTGTAATTTAATAAATGTAAGGTAGAGATGTTTAATGTCATACTGTGGAACAATAGCATATCCATGGAAACAAGAAGATGATGGACCTCCAACCAAAAAATTACACAGTGCACCTTTAAGTTTTCAAATATTAACTTCACTACAGCATATCCTGTTGTGGTCAGTTCTTTTCAAATACGATTAACTTGGCATTGGGACAACCACTTCTGTAAATAATTATAAGCCTAAAATTCAAGTAAATTGTTCAAAATGCTTAGTGAGAATCAGATATGATCAGAGAGACATTTGGCCAGAGAGTCATTAATTAAATTTAATATAATAATAAAGAAATAATAATTTATTTCTTTAATTTATTTATGCTCAGATCTTTTAAATGGAGACATCTACAGTCCTGTGTCATAAAATGCTATGTAAATAAAATCATGTGGTTTGGAACAGACTCAGAGAACAGATTTGTCGTTATTGTTCAGGAAATTTATACTGAAATAAAATTTTATTTATTTTAATACCACAATTTCAATGAAAAGAAAAAAGTTTATTGTTTTGATTTTAAATAGCTAATCCTTTGTGCTACTCACTGGGCACGGTCTGAGTCAGGATGAGCTCCATCTTCTCTTGGGGCTGGTGTTTCGTGTCCTCCACCAGTTTGTAAATCCTGTGGCGTCGAGGGTTAAGTCTCGGTGGGCTGCCTCTTTTAGACAAGGGCACCTGCCACCAGCGCTCCACTATCACTGTGTACTGAGAAAAGGGAACAATAAATTTAATTTGAGACACATCTTTCAATATTTGCATTATATTAATTATTATTTGGCCAAGTGTATTAAGTATACTTGTTGTTATGTGCAACTCTTGTTTATAGAATGCGCTATACAGTACTTTGTTTTAGATATGGTCTTTCTTACCACAGCACACTGCAATTTTAGAGAGTGGTTCACATATAGTTTTGGAAAAATATGCAGATAGGATCTGGGTAACCAGATTTTCAAAATCAAAAAATTGGGACACCCGAGTTTTGTGAAACGAGTGCGTAATTGTGAGTGCGGAAAATTGTTCTGCACTGGGCCCATTCATTACTATCATGTGAGTCAGTATAGTCACATTTTCTCTGTGTTTTGGTAATTTATAAGCAGCTTTTCTGTTTCACCTAAACAGATGCCAATGTATACCCCTCTTGACTGTTGGCAGGGATGTTTAAAAATAGGGACACCTGGAACATTTGTGGTATAAAACTGGAACAAATCACCGGTTTTGGATAAATCTGCTGGGACAGGGGACACAGGGCTCAAAACTGGGACTGTCACGGGTAAATAGGGACATCTGGACACCCTAGATTAGATAATACTGGTGTATTTCTTATTTCCATAGTCACTTAATCACAAAAAAATCCACACATACTTCCTACACCGTTCGGTTATCAACAGACTGTCCCCACAGCTCACGGGGACACAGGACAGACCTGTGCGGGGGTGAGACACTGACCTGTGCTGGGGTGAGACACTGACCTGTGCTGGGGTGAGGGATAAACTCCGGACAGACGCACGCGGCTGGACTCGGAGCAGCTCGTGAAGGACGCGGCGGCACGAGGACCACATATTTTTTAGCCGCGAGACTCTGCGTAATAAGAAAAGCGCTAACACAAGCGGTCTGGAATCAAAACATCTAGAGCTGTTTAGAAATGACACGCAGTAGACAGGTGGATGTGTGTAAGCAGAAGTTTAGTGCAACAAAATGACTGAACCGAAGCTAGAACTAAGGCAACCGCTAACTGTGCTGTGATGAGAGGACCCCAAGAATGACAGCAGGCTGTTCTAAGATTGCCTGTTTAAAATGCCACAATTGACTACACTGGCTGTTCGGCTTCAGTTATTTGGATAAGATAAGAAAAACATCTAATTATACTGGGCTGGCTGTTAAACATGTTTTAGCATATGACTATCTTTTATGTTTATGACATTTATGTAAAACATGAAATAAAATAAAATTCTTAAGTCAAAAATGGTCATAACTGATTAAAAAACAAACAAACAAACAAACAAACAAACCAACAAAAAACATAAGCAAATCAAGTAGTGTACAGAAGGGTTTTAAACTAGGGTGACCAGACGTCCCTGTTTACACGGGACAGTCCAGTTTTGAGTCCTGTGTCCCTTGTCCCAGTTGATTTATACAAAAAACCTAGTACCTGATTTCTGGTTTCCAAGTTTTAGATAAGACAAGAAGTAACCTGGTTTACCCCAGGTCTCCCTAAATTTTTGATCAAATTACTGATCTAAACCAGGATGTTTCAAAAAAAAAAAAAAAATGTCTCAAGAAAATTAAAGGTTCTGCAAACGCTGACGACGAGCAAAATGCAAAAATTTCTGGACACTACGCGCTGTAGAATTTAGAAATTGCAGGGTTGACAGCCGTGAGGTGTGGAGCAAACTCCTCTTCACATCCTTAGTCCTTTAAAGTCCTTCGTTAGTTATAGTCCTGGTTTAGACCTTGTTTAGTCCTGGTTCAGTCCATAAATAACGGCTCAAAATTACACAATAAGTTAATAAGTAACTTAAAGTAACTTACCAAAAATAATGTAAGGCATATAATACTATAGCCAAATTTATTGAAGTAGGCACACACATAATAATAATAAAATCAGTAGAAAGATAAGTGCATAGTCTACAAATAAGGCATCAGTGTCAAGATTATCAGATGGCCCTTCAGTAAACCTATATCAGTTTAGCATTTCGTGAAAATAAAATCTACACATCTACTAATCACATCTACTACTACAGATAGAAAAGCCCTATTGAGAGACCTACATCACTAACTTTTTAAACAGTTATCAATGCACTTAAGAAATAAAATGGAAAAACACCAACATAATATCATATGCATTATCATTATCATATGCATATCATTAATTCAAATCTATGTGTACACATTTTTACACATCACCAACGATAGGTTTATAATCACTAGATGCAGTTGTACCATAAAAACTGACGCGAGCCGGCAGCAAGTTCCGTCCTGCCTCCACAGCAGTGCAGCAGGAGCATGCGAAGAAACAACCTCCACAAATACATAATAAACCTGAAGTCGCCCAAACCAGAGTGGTGATGACAAACGCAAAGATGTAAAAAGGTTTAAAGCAGAAATGAGGCGATTCATTGGAGTAGTCGGGTGGATAGATGCTGTAGACCCACACTGAGCCTATGGAGAAAACACAACAACATTTCAACATTTATACTGAGCAGGATACGTGTAAAATGTTGCTTTCATCATAAATACAGGGAAATTCAAAGAGTTTAAAGGTGCACTGTGCAACTTTTCTGGTGGAGGGTCCACTGTCTACTTGTCTCCAATCTCAAAATAAAGGTAGATTTGACCATTATTGCACATCAATGACAATATTTTATTGCTGACTGAATAATTAGTATTACTCAAGTTTAAAAAAATGAAAAACAGTACTTGAACAAGCAATAATAGGATCCATAAGTCACTTAATTGGACATTAAATGTAGCCCTGTATATTGCAGACCTACATGCAGATTGTGACAGGGTGACCCAAAAAAAATCTCTTGCTACCCACCCGAGTCTCACGACCCAGTCTTTGAGAAATACAGGTATATGGGAAACACAATGTATTTAAACGTACAATGTGTAACTTTTCTGGAGGAGGGACTACCACCTGCATGTTTAAATGAGTTTAATGCCACACTTTGGAGCATTCCTGACAATGCAATAATTACATACAGACAAACAGGTAATGGACCCCCTATAAGAACAGTTACATACTGCTCTTCCTGTGCAGTTAAGACAATACAATTTCTCACCTGCAATAAACCAACAGAAGTCAAAGAGATAGAGCAAACTGATGCATGTGGAGGCCACCATAAAGACAGGACCGTCCACCCAAATACTTTTGGTGTAGGTCAGAGTCAGAGAGATCAGACTGACTGACCCCAGAACGATCATGTAGATGGGGATATAAGGTTGAGCGGGACAGCTTTTCACATGGATGGCCCCTGTGTGAAAAAGACGTACAAAAACATTATGCACACTGTTCTGCTGATGAGGTGTACTGGATCATAATCAGAAAGGTGTTTGAGTAAATTTCAGTCTAGCATGGACACACTACAAACTGTCAATGTACCAGGATCATCGCATCCAACTACTATAGCTGAATGTGTTTATTAGAAATATACCATTAGAGGAAAGTAACCGAGTACAAGCAATTATTTTATTCAAATGAAAATTTAGATTTTACTGTGGATAATTTTAAGTTTTACTTCAACACATTTGAGAGCATGTACTTCCTACACTACAGTTTTGAGCTTGACTGAAAAGTAATTTTTTTTTAATTTTACCTTTATTTTACCAGGCAAAACATTAAGAACAAATTCTTATTTACAATGTTGGCCTGGGCATGCCAAAGTAGCCAAGGGAAGGGGAAGGGGAGTTAAAACAATTAGACACTCAACATCATTCATTAAAACATAAAACAAACATTTACATCAGTCTCTAAAAATGTAGGGGATATTATTTTTTTAACCATGTTTGTGGTTTGAGGTGTGAATAAAGTTTTCAATTTCAATAAGCTTCAGCTTTAAGCAAACAACAATAAACAAAACTCATGAGAGCATTAAGAATCTAATTCATTTTGCTACTGTTGACCTAAATATGTATACTTTTTGAATCAATGTTACTACATTTAACACTGAGTGAAATACTTTTACTTTTTACTCTTTTACTTTTAAATGGATACTTTTACTTAAGCAACAAAACTGAGTACTCCATCCACCACCTCATTAAAGATATTACAACAAGTATACGTATTAATGTGCCCAGTAGCTGCTTGAGTATTATAAACATACCAAAGCCAATGGCTGCAAGTAAAACCATCCACCAAAGGAAATTAACCACAGCTGAAGACAGAAAAATAAAAATGTTAACATAATTGCAATTTTCTCCAAAAATAATGTATGAATCAAATGCAAAAACTCACCGATTGATGAAATTATCACTGTGCTTTGAGGCCTTGGTGCATCTTCAGGAGGGGAGTCCATGTCTAGAGAAAATATTCAGTTAATAGAGAAAAACACTTGTATAAATCGTATGCTTTTGTGTCCTTACCTGTTTGGATCCTAAATTGTTTGCTTTCTGACTTTCTCACAAATTCTGCAGGATGTTAAGACATTCAAGCCCAAGCAGCAACTGTTTTCTGCAATGCCGTGGTCTGAGCTTTTGACTCAGAGGAAATCATGATGAAATTCACTGATATCTGATTGCATGTGAGGGCTGTTGGTGATGTTATCAACAAACCAAAAATGTTCAGCCTATTTATTGTAAAGACAGACCCAAACTAACACAAAGTTGGTGGACATAAATTCGCCAGGGATGCCCACGTAATACAAAAGATATAGTTAACTAAGCTTAGAACATAAGTTGGCATGGTAAATGGTAAATGAGGAAGAAGTTCAAAAAGTGAACCTTTACAACTACATGCCTTACGTAACAAAATATAATACACATTTTCCAGACATGTGCAGGATGTCTTTTTTGCTATTGCTGTTGCTAAGTGTTTTATTGTTGAAAAATTTTGAAATGCATGCACTCTTACAGCAACAGCCTGCAGATCAAATCTATAATTTGAATACCATGGCGATAGAAGTACAATGCCATACTGTGGAACATTCCAGGCAAAGCAAGAACATCTCCACACGCTCACCAGAAAAATTACATAGCACACTTTTAAAGCAGCATTACGCATCTTTTCTGGTGGATGGTCCATCACCTTGTCTCCATGGAGATGTTATGTGTTGCCTGGAATGTTGCATGGTATGACTTTAAACATATCCATAGCATTTACTCATTACAGGTGTTTCTATTGCTCAAAAATACAATAATTCCTCCAGTGAATAGGGGTGACTCTCCTCAGATCTGACCTGTAATGGAGCCAATAGTAGTCTCCCTTGATAAAGATAATTTAAATCTTTACCATGGAACATTCTAGACAAAGCAATAACATCTCCATGGAGACAAGTAGGTGACGGACCATTCACCGGAAAAGTTGCGCAGTGCACCTTTAATGTAATAGTGAGTAAAGATTAAATATTTGATAACAACTTTTTAATAAATAAGTCCATATCTGTATCTTAGGCTTCTTTTTATTTCAAGCTACATTTTTTGTGATAATTTTATGCCTGATGCTTTCAATTGTATTCTTCAAAGTGACCACAGGAGGCACTGAGCTAAACTCTTTTCTAAGCTGAAATTCAATGATGGTCTGAATCATGGGTGCAGCAGGGAAGTCCATGCAGATGATGCCCAGACGCTGGTTGAGGTTGGTTTTGGCCTGGAGATATTCGTATAGCTGGAGGTTGACTCTTTGGGCTACAGCTCTGGGGAATGCGAACAGCCCCGCCCCACTGCTGAAGGTGAGGTAGATCCGCGCCAGGTTTCCCCCCGGAGCAGCCTCCAGGTGGTTATGGACGCTCTGCCACTTCTCCTTCACGTGCAGCAGAGTGGGCACCTGCGTGGCACAGACAGACTCAGTCACAATACGATTCAACAAAAATCATTATCTTGTATGAATTAGAGAAAATAATTTTAATTAATGGTTGTAATGAGTAAGTATTAATAATAATTTAAATTCCGTAAAAGTGTAACTTTTCTTGTGGAGGTTCCGCCATCTGCTTGTATCCATGGTGATGTTATTACTTGCCTGGGATGTTCCACAGTATAGCATTAAACAAATACATTTTCTATTTATTAAATTCTAGTTTTTATTTCTCAAAACTACCCAAAAATGTGCATTGTTACTGTAAGCAAGCCTACTTCTTGGTCTTGATAATAATGCTGCTTGTCTCCATGGAGATAGTTAAATTAAATGCCATATTGTAGAACATTCCAGGAAAAAAACAATAACATCTACACGGAGTCAAGCAGGTGGCAGACCCTCTATAATAATAATAATAATAATAATAATAATAATAATAATAAATTTTATTTATATTGCACTTTACATAAAATAATCTCAAAGTGCTACAGGTAAAAACAATGAGTAAAAAGGTGCATCAGAAACAGTGGATCAAGCTAAAACCAGTGCAGGAATTTATAAGATAAAACCAAATTGTTAATCTGATCCAAGTTGATGAACTGTAGGTTTACATTGCAAGTTCTTGCAAAAGAAATGTGGAATGCGACAACTACCAAATATATTAAATATTGTTTTAATGATAAGAGTTTTCTGGGGGGAGTGAATAGTTTGTGACATGAATGCAAAGAATTTAAGTTCAATCAATATTGTAGCATTATGGACTAGAAACAGAAATAAAATATAAAAGAAATGTACGTAACACTTTTTAATAACTACATCCTGATTCATAATGATCAAATGGTTTATTTAAAATCATTTAACTTAGTAACTACTGTCTAACTTTTCTCCATGCTTGTGTCCATTGAGTTGTTATTGCTTTTTCTAGAATGTCTCAGTATGGCATTAAACATTTTTATTCATTAAAAACTTGAATTCTTTCTGTGAGCGAGTTCGCCTCTCCACAGATCTGACATGTAACTTGGCCCTGTGGCCATCAGCTGCTGTCTCTGTAAAGATACAGAAGTGTCATGACATCTTTGGAACTTTCCAGGCAACATATTCATGGACAGAAGCAATTAACAGACCCTCCATCATAAAATTTACACAGTGCACCTTTAATTAATAACCAACCTAACCTCTTATTTAAGCAGTTGCTTTGTTTGAATCATTCCTAATCATTCTTGATAAACTATAGACTAATATCGTGCTTCTTTCAAGTCATACAGTAAACAACAGTCATTTAATTAAGGCAAATCTTTGTATTTTAGATGAGTTTTATATGTACCTGTATGCAATTAAATTGTGTCTTAATACCTTCCAATCATCTGCTATGTCCATGGACCAGTAGCGCATGCCCAGGTCTGGGCCAGAGAAGTCTTGCATAATGATGATTTTGCCCCGCACCTCCCCCAGTGTGGGCACCAAGCGGCTGTGCCAGAGCAGGTCCCAATGGGCATAGCGGTGAATATAATCCACCACCGCACCATAGATGTCATTGGTTTCACTGAACTCCTCCTTCACCCTCATCAGCACCGTCTCTGTGGGAAACTCTGTGAGGAAGTCCACCACTCCCTCCAGAACGTGCCCAAAATGTGCCCGCTGGTATGAGACCCCGTGGTGGATGGTGAGGTTGCCATTAACGTGGCGAACTCTGATGTCCAGGAAGCGCACCCCGGCCCGCAGCTGTGAGGCCAGACTCCAGGTTTGGCACTCGGCATAGATCCCTCCGAACAGCGCCATGGTGTTGTGGGTGCCGGGCATGGTGACTTCAGACAGCGGCTGGGCATCAGGGAGCTGGGACATCCACGAGGGGTTCAGGAACTCAGGGTGGGGGGTGTCATCGTAGTCTGGGCGCTGAATGGCACTGGAGCTCAGACCAGTGATGCTGAAACCAAGAGAAGACTTTGATATAGAAATATGTAACACGTAAGAAACAGTAAATAAGTAAGTTGAGCTTTTCTACACTAAAATACAAGAAAGAAACCAAAATACATAAGCACATTATTCATCTACAAATACAACAAAGCAATTATACATGTTTGTTCATGTGCATTCATCCTCACACTATTTACATTTTTTTAATTTATTTCATTCATAAAGTATAAAAAGTGTCACAACATCAAACATACAAGAAATGAATGAAAAGGAGCAGAAAGAAGATTAATCTTTTGTTATCTGCCCCCTTTTCCCTTTTCCCTTTTCCAGACAATACATCAACACTGATAGTTACTAAACATTTCAAATCAGTGCATTTCAGTTCAGGCACAATTATCAATCAATTGCAAACACAAATCTTCACTTTTATGTAGAACAACTTTCCGTTTTCATACATACACATTGCTCACATTGATTTTATGTGTTTTTTAAAATGCCATTATTGTACTTGATTCTTTTATATCTTTGTCAAGACTATAAATTAACTCCTTTCACAGGCACACTTTGCTCCATAACCTTGGTTCTGAATGTGTGTTTTTTTTTTTTTTTTAAACATGTAGGTTCCTTTTAAATTGTAGTGACTTGCTCTCATCTCAAACACATCGTTACAGTTTTGGTTTGTTTTAAGCTATGATTTAAGCCTCAAGGTGAACTTTATAAACTTGGAAATTAACTTAATTTCAGTGGGTTTAGCGTGTTTCAGAGTTTATAGCTCTTTTAAGAGAAGCCCGACTGTAGAAATGAAGTTCTGCACTAAGGGATTTTGCAGGTGTTTATCTATATCTCTTTTCTATATACTTGTGCTTTATTTGACACAGGTCTTACAATTTTTGCATCTTCTTTCATTTTTATTTTTGTTATTATGTTGTAATGAGTGAGATACTATGTCAAACATTTTTTTCTTGTGAATCAGTAAAGCCTGACTAAGTCTGTATAGTTTTAAGCTACAAACAGATGGGGTATAGAGCAGAAATTGAGCCCTCTAAGATATAATTTAAGTGTATTCTGTCAGCAATGTGACAAACAGGTTCCTTTTATGATACAAAAAGGTCTGTTGCATTTCAAATTAATTATTTCAACAAAAGGTTGTACTTACGCCAAAAGTAAAACCACTTTTAAAAACATGGTGTCTCTTTTCACTGTCCAAAATCTTCTAAATCTGCAGAGGAAAAAGTGGTGCAAAAATGTCACAAAAATTATAACAGTTTCAATAAGTATTTACACAAGACAATGCTTCTATTGTTGAACTGCTAGGTTAACATTCATGTCCTTGATTGCAGGAATCTAAACTACACAAATAAAAAAAGACACATTTCGGATAAAAACAGAACGGAACAAAACAGTTGTATCCCGTCTGGTGTGAGGTGCCCCCAGTGCACCCATCTACACAGTTTGAATGGAAGACTTAATCTTTTTAATCCCAAAACATAAGCACCCGCCCGTCTCTCTCTCTCTCTCTCTCTCTCTCTCTCTGTGTGTGTGTGTGTGTGTGAATGCTGCTGGAGGGTGGGTCTGGCCCAAATGTCCCGCTAGAGTCCACATACCTGAGTCCAAAAGCTGGTCCCTGGTCCGGATCACGACAGACTGGACGGGGACAAACCTGAGAGAGAGAGGGGTCAGAAAGAGTGACGGAGGAGCAGTGTCGACCCAGGATGTAACTGTGAAAAATACTGAAATGAACAGATGACGTAGGACTGTGGGGGGGAGTTTCTTTGGCGTTTTTGTTTATTTTGAGTTAATTACTAACAAAAAAAAACACAAGGCAATTCATTTCAGGTAAGGATGCCAATATAAATACAAAATAAAAATAAATAATAATAATTTTCACATATTTTTCACATATTTTGGTTCAGTTTTTTTGTATAATTGTTAATAATTGTAACAAATTTTGAAAGTTTAATTCATGTATCAAATCTTGTCTGATTATTATATACTGTACTGTAATTTTTTAATCTTGCGTGTGCTTTGTACTATTTGTATGTTTTGTACTCTGTATCTTATGTTGTTTCTCAGTAATTGTACATAGAATGAGAAGATTTTTGTATTTTTTTTTCTTTAATCAATTAATAATATTGCAGTTTTAAAATATCAACATTAGTAAAACATATATTATAGCAAAAATATTCAAAAAGTTAATTTATAGTGATCCACCTCTGTTTATTTAATAGTAAAAGTGTAATCTTTCCAGAGTAGATACATATTAAGTACAGCTAGTCCCATTAAACCACACAGAATCCTGAGAGTGTGTGAGGAGAGAGAGAGTTTTTGCAAAATGTGTAAAACATGGAAAAACTGTCAGGTGTTCTCATTCTGTCCCTTATCTCTGTGTGAGAAGTCAAATATTTCACAACATCCATGTGCTTTTCTTGTTGGAGAATATTTGGTCAGGTGGTAATACCCACTCTAGTGCACATACAATATTTTTACACTGAGGCCACAGGAGGCAATAGATAGGAAGTTATGTAATCCATATCAACAATGTATATAATAAATATTTGTTTTGTTTTTCTGAATCAGTGTTTGTTATTGTGTTTGGGATGTAATGTATTTTTATTGTTCTGAGTATTTGTCTAATAGTTGTTTTTTTTTGTTTTTTTTTTGTTTTTTTTTCAGTCTTCCAGTGGTGGGAGTTGTTGTTTTGCAAGTCTCAAGTAAGTCTCAAGTCTTTGACCTCAAGTCCAAGTCAAGTCCCAAGTCATTGGCCCACAAGTGCAAGTCCAGTTCAAGTCCTCTGCTTTGAGATTCAAATAATTTTAAGTCTTTTAACCAAAGTACCAAATACAGCTTGTATTTTTGCAATTTAAAGTATACGTACTGAAAAAATCATGGTATATTTGAAATGCTACTTTTTCCTTTTTAAATGTCTTGACAAGACCTTAGTGCAACTCAATACAGTCATAATAGAAAGAGATTTAAAAGGGATTTATAACTGTTATTTTCTTATGTAGTCTGCACTGAAATGGTAGTATAGTTGTCTATGCAGTTGTCTCTGTTTTACAGTTTTGTATGTGTATTACTGTATATTACTGTAAGAAATTGTATGATTCAGTATTACAGTACTTCAGTTACTGTTACAGCCATAGTAACAAATAGAGAAGTGGGGGGGACATGTTCCAGTTTGTTCCTGTGAAATTAAGCACTGTATGTACTGTAATGAGAAAAGTATTTCTTAAAAACTTTCTTTTTTTTTTTCAGGAGAAGCATCAAGTCTTCTCAAGTCTTAGTCCATTTTATTAAGTCAAGTCTCAAGTCCTCAAAATATTGACTCGAGTCTGTAATACAATTCTTATAGCTGTCAATTGTTGTTAAATGTAGCTGAAGGTGATAGTTAAGCCACAACAAATACATGTGGTTGTTCCAATAACATGTACAAATAAATCACATCAACATTACTGTGGGTAAATAAGAGTGTATTGGAGGAAACCCAGCCTTTTTATTTCTCAAGTAGGTTACCCTAAAATATTGTCTCTAAGTCTCCCCATATTGTGTATCAGTGTTTCTTCAGTCATTATAAACCTGATAATAAGTAGGCTATATTAACAATTATAACTATTTTATTTTTAAAATCTGAAACCAATGTATGCCTAGTGAGTGTTCACATGCTTCTGTTTGCAAAACCCCAGAAATGTAAATTATATCAAATTCACTGAAATTTGATTAGCACTGCTCAGAGAGATGTCCAGAGAGATTTTAACAAGCAATGTTTACTTCAAGTTCTGTATATACAATATCACAAATTTATCAGCAGTCAGTTGCAGTGCTAAAGATGCACTACAACATTTCTAATGGGTGGTCTGCCACCTGATGTCTTTATCTTCAAATGTTATTGCTTTGTCTAGAATCTTCCAAGTCTGAATTAAACCTACTGTATCTATCACAAGGGAGACAAGCAGGTTACAGCACTACGCTACATTTCAGATCACAGAAGGAATTGTATTTGGATTTTTATTTCTGAGCAATAGAAACACCTGTAATGAATAAATGCTACTTAGAAAAGTCATACCATAGGACAGTCCAGGCAAAGCAATAATATTTCCAGAGAGACATGCATATGGCAGAACTTACGCCAAAAAACTTGCACAGTGCACCTTTTAAAGTAGCCCCATTGTGCTGTATATCAAACATTTTTGCAGTGAAATGTTGGTATTTGTTATATACACTGACTCACTCACCACAAGAGGGCACTGCGCCATATTTCAACATGACACAAGAGATTTTGTCTTCACAACATCCTCAGCTCACACAGAGATGACAGAGGCATAGACTGTTTGTAGGTCAAAGAAGAAAGGAGTCCAGAAGAATAGGCAAAACAGCCCTGTACGAGCTGTGAGTGTCAGGTGTCCACGGCCACAAAGGACTTCATGTAATATGTAAAACGTACTCAGAACTGAATGCACACTTTAAGTTGCCTTGACTTTTTGTGCTGCTGCCAACATAAGAAGATTCAGAGCGAGATTTGCAAAGAAAGAAGGACAAAGGCATCTGTTAAGCAAAATAGATAAAGAAAGGAAGTTGGATATCACACTTCCTATCAGTTACATTTTGAAAAGATTTAAAACTATATTGAATTTCTGTTTTAAATAAAATCAAGTTGTTTTTTTAAATGGTGTAGGCTTATATGATATGTTTTTTGTTTTTTTTTCCATTTTAAAGATTCTGTACTACAGAGGTGGGTACCTGCAAGTCGTGACTTGGACTCAAGTCAGACTTGAGTCACTATTTTAGGACTTTAGACTTGACTTGATAAAATGGACTAAGACTTGGGACTTGACTTGGACTTGAAGGTCATTGACTTGGGATTTGACTTAGACTTGAGGCCTGTGACTTGAGAAGACTTGAGAAGCACTCAAATCTGAATTCTTTCTATTCTGACCATAATGATTCACACTAAGATCTTGTCAAGACATTTAAAAAAATATTTTCTACAATTTTTATATACTCTATAAATACTCATATATAAATATACTATGACTTTTTAAGCACAGTTTATCTTAAAAGTCATATAAATTGCAAAAGTTTTAGCTATATTTGGTACTTTGGTTTAAAGACTTGAAATGACTTGAAGCACAAAGCAGACAACTTGGGCTTGACTTTGACTTATGGGCCAGTGACTCTAGACTTGACTTGGACTTGCCTGTATTTGATTTGGGACTTGCCTCGGACTTGAGATCAAAAACTTGAGAGTTTCTTGAGACTTGCAAAACAACGACTTCCACCTCTGCTTTATTACACAAAACTGACTCTTGTGAGCCTTTAGCCATGTTAGAATGTAGTTACCTCAAGAAAAACATACCCAGAGTTGTGTTTTATTTCGTTCACATATGTTTCAGTAATCCTGCTTTATCAGTCTGTCTGTCCAAAGCTCATAACACTCTGTTCCACCTTGTAATGTCATGAAGGGTTCAGGTTAGGGTTTCAAGTGAAAAGCTACCTTTTTCCACCTGTTCAGAAAAGACTGACAATTCCAGGGCTGAAATTATCCAAATGATTCTCGTGAATGTGTATGGAGTTTAAAAACACAGTGGAGAACTTCTTGTATCACCTGACATCACGAGGTGGAAAAGAGTGTTTTCTGTTTGAGAGAAAAATATCAAGAATTTGTCTGTTAAACCTGTGTAAATGAAACAAAACAAAACACAACTCCAGGTATGTCTGTGATGAGGAAAAAACATTATAAGATAGTTCAGAAAATAGCGGGATATGGGCCCTTTAAAAACAGTTTTCACAATAGGCCTACTCCTGAATTTGTGTTGAGTTCCGATTAATAAGGTGTAGACCAATTAGAAAGTTTCTGCTCATTATATAAATAGTATTAAACTGTATTACTTGTCTTGCCACTGTTTAACTATGGATACTGACACACCCATGTCATTGAAGCATTGACTAGACATATAAAAGAATGTGATGGTTGTAAAAAAAAAAAATGACGTGGGATTATGCAGACAGAAATATGTAGTTCTGACAAAAAGGCGGACGTTGCAGTGTGTATTTGTATGTAGGACTAATCTCTGAGGTATTTAGTCGTTAATACTGGCCAAAGGGCCGAGACAATTAAAAGATTACAATGAAAAGCACTGCCCTGTCAAGCTTGCATGTTTTCATAGCCTGTGGTTGCATACTGGAGTCCCCTAGACCCGCAGTGCATGTGGAAAACAGCTCTCAGCCAATCAGAGGAGGCAGGATGGGCTTCTCGCTTCCTCGTTTCTTTGTCCTTATATGGCAAAAATGGGCGGTGCTTATTTGACTGTGTAAAATGGTGGATAGGAGACAGTGAGACAGCTGCAGCAGACACAACACAGCTACCAATATCTTTATCTAGAGGTGAGTAAACATCTTCTTGGCACTGTTTTATAAGATTTAAACATGTTTGTGGTGAGTTTGTTTGGTGTGGGTGATATCATTTGAGCAGTTTGGGCAGCCTGGTTCCTGTTTGTGTGTGAGAGGCAGGGATTCAGGAAATGATAGAAAAGTGGTCTCCCAAACAAACAAAGCAACACTGAATTTTGGATTTAGTGTTTTCTTCTTCTTGAAAATATAATCTTGAAATTCTGTCGCCTGTAACCATGTGTTTGCTTTAAGGCCTGTTACTATGAAGACACACCCACTGTTGTCTTTAAGTTAATTTTCCAGAAAGGCAACATTGAGAAGTGTGAATAATGCAGAAGATATGCAATTATGAAATGCCATTTGTATTGCTGTCAGTGTTACAAACGAAACCATAATTTCTTACATAATGTTTAACCACAAAAACAAACTTCTAAAGGTCCCCTTACTTCAAAATAATGTTAATGTCAATGTTAATGTTTAAAGCCCTAAAGAAGACAAAAAAGTACAACCAAATTACTGTGTACAATTTTACAACTGCTTTTGAGTAAATGCATTCCAATTGCTACTACTGCAACCACAACAATATGCATTGATACTCCTTCACCTCTTTGTACTATTACTACTACGGCTACTACGGCTACTACTACTACTACTACTACTACTACTACTACTACTACTACTACTACTACTCTGGCCCTGATTCAAACCCATCCTTTTTAATTGCCTCCTCTGTTCTCACTTTGCCCCTAAGGTCAAAAATCCCTTTATTTCTGTGAGTTGCCACATGTAAGCTTGCAATTAACTATTTAAAGCAAAATTTGATGTTGAAATGTCCTCGAAATGTCACCTAATTTCAGCTTCCTGTTTCATAGTGCTATTTTGAGGACAGATGACCATTCAAAATCATATAATATTTAGTTTGAGTTGTTAATTGCTATGGCAACCTAATTTTTCATTATTTTGAAACCCATAGATAACAGGAAGTTGATCCCATGACTAGTTTAATTATTATATTATATTGTGATGTGTGAGCAACAGTGTTCAGATAATTTCCCTTGTGGATCAATAAAGTTTGTTTAATTATTTGTCTAACTATTTCAAAATTGCTCTGCGTATCATTACAATACTTGTTTAAAATGGAATTCACAAAAATAACTTTAAACAGGCCCTCGCTCGTTGCTTATTTACACAACTTCTCCCTGTTTGTGTAAAACCTGAGCCCGCAGTTGTTGTATGGTGGTAACAGAACATCATACTGTCTTTTGTGTGTTTGGCATATGTGCAGCAGCTGTAGGCGTGAGGGTCACAGCCGATGCAACTCGAGACCTGGCCTTGAGCTTTTGCTACAATGGTGTGAGATCATCTGGAAATCTTTAGCAAACTTTATCCAAACATGTTGAAGCAGAGATATTGGGGCATTAAAGACTGAAGCTGTCACACCCACTCAACAAGCAGCAGTAATAAAAAATGTTTATAGTGAATCATAATGCATATTTGAGGTTTGTAAGAAGTCTCTTTTGAATGGGCTTGATTCTTTCTTATGTTTACAGTTGAAATGGACCAATTATGCCATGTAATTTATAATCACCAGATAAAACCAGTGAAATATTCAGTATTCTGTAAACCATTGTTATAATCACAATAATATGAAATGTTATAAATGATCAATAATATGGATGAGATTTGTGATGGCTAGAACTGTCATTATAGTTGCAATATTGACTTTCAATATATTATGCATATGGAGATGGATATATTTCAAAATATTATGGAACGATAATTTTTTGGGGGTCAGTTGTTGCTGTGGGGACTTTTTCTTTGTATCAGTAGGTCATTTTTGGTTATTCTCTCTACTTGTTCTACTGTAGACAGTTGAATTATGAACTTAAATTACACAATCTAATCACTGAAATGTTGGAATCTGCTGTTTATTAATACAGCTCAACAATATTTAACAGTATTGTACATTTAGAATACCTTTTTTGTGGATAATTCTGCTTTATGATTTGGTTTCAAATCATATCAAATAATTTATCATTTATTAGATTAGATTTGAGTCAACTTTATTGTCATTACACATGTATAAATACAAGGTAACAAAATGTGGTTTAGCATCTAATCAGAAGTGCAAGAAGCAGCAAGTGTGATATATACAGAATGTGCAGTATATACTATATAGACAATATACAGTATATTACAGTGTAGATTGTAGTGAATATATACAAATAAATATGGCAGTATGAACAGGAGGGAATTAGATATAATATACATGGGGGAGATATAGGCAGAAGTATTATACTATGAACAATATACACAGGGTGGCAATAGAAAATATAAATATGTATGACATATATAAATGAGCAAAGATATATATGAATAATATAAATACAGAACGCTATAAATAAATATAAGGTTATGTGGCAGATGTAATATGAATATGTAAGCATGATAAGCAGAGATAAACAGCACTGGTGATATGTAGTTTAGATGGAGGGATTGGACAGGGTACATTCAATGTCCGTGGGGGAGATGAAGAGGGAGGGGGCGAGTGGGTGATGTGGTAGAGGGACAGCGGGGGATAGAGTTCAGTAAGAAAACAGCTGTGGGGAAAAACTGTTCCTGAACCTGCTGGTTTTAGTCCTAAGGCTTCTGAAGGGCCTTCTGGAGGGGAGGAGTTGGAAAAGGTTGTGGCTGAGATGTGAGAGGTCCTTAAGGATGCTGTCAATATTGTCAATATAGGATGCTATATTGACTCTATTGAATATATCGCACGTCAAAATTTGTTGTCGTGACAGACCTAGACATGTCTAGATTATCTCATCAGAATTTATCACTGTTTGCAATATTTGGGCCGTGTGTTGTGGCGGTTTATAGCAGCAGTTCTACTGTTGGTGTATATATTACATAAAAACTAGCAAAATGATAATCAAAGTCACATTTCCTTTCCTAACTTTTCTGGTAGAGGGTCTGTCACCTGCTTCTTTCTATGGTGATAATGCCTAGAATGTCCCACAGTATGGCATTACACAATTATCTCTATGGAGACAGCAGGTGACACCACAGGGCCAAGTTACATGTCAGATCTGTCGAGAAACCAACCCACTCACAGTAAGAGTGTATGTTTTTGAGTAAATGCAAGATGCTTACATGCCTCATCGGAACAACATCTCCATGGAGACAAGCAGGTAGCAGACCCTCCACCAGAAAAGTTACACAGTGCACCTTTAACAAATAAAATCACCTGTTATATTTCCGTGTTAAGATCCGATTTCTAACTATATTTCTGCTCTGTGTAGGTAACGCTTACTCATTTAGGGTGGGTGAAGATTCGGAGTGATGGCTGATGCAGCAACAATAAAGAAACACGCAGCTACTGTCCTGTGCTGTGTGGAAAAGGTCTCCTCCTTTGCCTCCTCCATTGACCCTCTCTTTGGGATAGTCTCATCTCTGGTTGGAATCGCTCGTAAAGGCCTTGTGGACGAAGAGGGCCACCCGCTAGATGGCGACTTCCAGGAGATCAACTCAAAACTGGAATCCATTTCCAAGAAGAACCACAAATGTCTGAGACAAATACAAATCGATGAGATAAACGAGAACTACGGCAAGTACGAGGAGTACATTAAACATCAATATGCAGCTTTTAACACAATGGTTGCTAAGCTGAAGAAGGATCCGGACAGGACGAAGATTCACATGGAAACCTATGAAAAAATCTATGAAAGAGACAAGAGTGACTTAAGCCTCAATGTCTATTACAATGGAGTCATGGGAACGGGATCTTTGTTTGGAAGAAACCTGCTTAAAGTTTATATGGAGCATTGCGATGGCGATTTGGAGATAATGGAGCATAGATGTTCACACCTCACGCATCTCTTTCACATGGGGCTAATCGCGTTGATGGCGTACACCGCTGTTACCGAGGATGACGAGGATGAGGTGAGGGAGAAGTGGGCCAAGAGGGTGGCTGACATCCAGGGCGAAATGCAGAAGGTGCTGAGTCAATGCAAAGATAAGCAAGCTCCCGCCTCGTGAATGTAATTACCCTCCTATAGAGATGAAGGAGTAGTAACCAAAGTCAACTGTCAACAGGAAAGACATGTAAACTATAACAGGATGCTGTACAAAGAAGCCATTGTTTTATTGTTTTTCATTTAAGAACTGCATTTAAAACTATATCTATAATATTGTATTTTTGTGCACTGTGTAACTTTTCTGGATCCTAGTACAGGTTTTTTTCCGTCTTATCTTTTCCCACCAAGCCCCTTTACAGGACCAAATTCCTAGTTTAATGCCATACCATGGTCCATTCCAGGGAAAGCAATCTCCCCATCATAACCTACCAGGTGCTGGACTCTTTCCAAAAAGTTACACAGTGCCCCGTTAAGACATGTTGTGTGTGAATACTATCATGCTGAGAGTTTGATGCTTATTTTAAGTTGTACTATGCAATCAAATAAAGTGGAATCTTGTGAAGACTTTTTTTTTTTTCATAATATTACATGTAAACCTACAGGCATACACTTTTAAATGGGGAAGAAAATGGTATGGAGACTATATTTCCAACATACCTAGGGCTAACCAGGTATTACACCCAAAATCAAGTTCAAATTCCTCAAGGCACCTCCTGTATACGTGTACACTCACCTGTTGTTAGGCAGGTTTAGGTGTTTCCTGGATTGCCCTTCTGAAAGGACTTGTTTCTAAACTTGCTGAACTTGCTGTAAACTGCACTCGAAGATGTCCGGAATGAAGAAAATCCACATATAGCCACTGATTACAGATGTCTATGAGACATGGAATGCAGTACTGTACATACTATAAACAAAACGCATACTGGTCATCATGGTAGTGCCCAAAAAATGCAGTTTTATATTACCACTGTTTATAATAAGCATAACGTCTTGCAATCATAATTTAACTGTACCTGATTATATTTCAGACTACTTAATAGTTTAGGCAAAGCAATTCATTAAACACATATTGTTAAAAACATAGCTTGTAGCAAAAAGACGACATTTGTGATACTCAAAGCAAAGTTATCACCTTCCCCCACAGTAGTTGGGTTGCAACTGTGTTTTCAAGTCCTAATAACAGGTGTTATTAGACTTTAGCCTACACAGTAAATATAGTAATATATGTTCAGCATACTAAATAGCTTTCAAAGATACTTATAAACACAAAAAGTGACGCACAAATACACAGTAATAACAACAATAATATGATATGATAAATGCTCATATTTAATCATACTAGTGTTAAAACAAAACCAGTAAAATAAAATAAGAGCAAACCCATAGAATAACAATAAATACATAAAACTAATAAAATAAAATAGAATAATAATTAAATAAAAGACACAGAGGATCACACAACTCATGCAGTGTTAAAGAAAATCAGGATAATATCCCAAATTTGTAGGGTCCATATTTGAAACTTAACTTCGATATGTTTGTACACTTTTGAAAACAACTGTTCTATTACCAGTTGTTCACAATGTAGTTTTGGCTTGATTGATGCTTGGATGGTTGAATAGATTCAGAAAACGCCACAGATGAGTCAAAGTGGGCCCCAGCTTTACGCACGGGCCTCGCGCACTGAGTCCCCCTCGCCACCAGAGCCCTCTGTTTCCACGCGCAGCAGCGAAAGAAACATAACATGACGCCTCCGCTCGTCTGTACCGCCCTGCCCAAAGTTAAAGGCCTATAACTAGCCTACTACTACTAATTATCAGCTGCATGAGGTGAATAAAATGCGCCGAGGAATGGAGAACCCGGCGCGAAACGAGACGAGAAAAGTTTGATAGCTTGGGGGAAAGTCGAGTCGCCTTCGGTAAGTTTCAGCAAAAAGCGACGATGTCAGTGTAGCATTTCGGCTACTACTAATGCTACTGCCCCAAAAGTAACCAGGCTCTATTAGTAAACATTTAGCTTGGAAAATGACTTTGTACACAATAAAGTACGCAGTGTAATAATAATATAATATCTTTGTTATTACACATTACGCACGGGAGCGCATCTGGTTTCCGGGGCGTGACCTTCCTCTGAACTCTGCAATTTATTTTTGCCTGATGCGAAAAGTTAGATTCGTGATTAAAGTGCATGTTTTCATTACATTTTATATAAATTTTATGAGCTTATAGACGTAGGCTTCACCTTGTTTACCGGCACAATATAGGCCTATTATTACTAATTGATGGAGCAGTGTGGACGTTGCTAAGACCCCCAACGCATCTCCAATTTCCTGTAACAAGAAATCAATCCTGAACAATATTTACAGTTAAAACAAATACATCAATTATTGACAACTTATTTCATGATTATTACATAATTTAAGTAGCTTATATTGATCCTATCACAATGCAGCTCAAGTGATCTATTTAAGATATAGGTCTAATGTATTACTACTCTGGCTCGTGGGTGCTTTAAGTGCTCAGATGGGTTCAAAGCATTATTGATGAACTGTGCTTGATCTCCTGCCAAGTTGGTTTTAAGTGATTAATTCATAGATCAATGGCAATAATCAATAGCCTTTTAATCCCAATAATGGCTCGACTGAAGGCTTCATGAAAAATAACAAGTGCATTGAGATGAATTAATGTGAATATAATGTAATTGGAAAGAGCAGAATCTGTTGCGCTATAGATAATAATGGCTGTTTATTTTCTGTTGACTAGGCATGAGTCTCCATAGTATTTGGCCCTGGATAATGATGCTGGATCAGGACTAAAATAAAGACGTCACAATGGGCAACGAGGACAGCCTGGAGGATGCTTTTGTGGCTGTAGTTCGCCCAAAAAGTCAAGTCAGTCTGAGCTCCAAGGAGTACAGAGCCAAAGCCTATGAGGTAAACTGGAATTTTTGGGACCACTTTATAATAATCACACATTAATTTTAAACTTGCATTGTGTAACTTTTCTGGTGGAGGATCTGTCATATGCTTTTCTTCGTGGTGTTATTGCTTTGGCTTTCTATCTTCATGGAGAGACAACCCTGCTTATAGTCAGAATGTCTGTTTTCTGGATATTTTTGCAATAAAACCATATGTAATTGAATAAATGTAAGGTAGAGCAGTTTAATATTTTATGTACTTTTGAAAATTTCTGGCAGAGCAATGACATATCCATAAAAACAAGCAAGGAAGTTACATAATTCATCTTTAATAAAGCATGAACGGAGGCTTAAGTCATAATGTATTAGTTATTAAGAATGATTAGGCTTTGTAATGACTAGAACTAGGTATTAATTTGTAATGACTAGAACTAGATATTAATTTCTAAAGCAATCCACTGTAAACAGGCCTTAAAAGCTAACACACTGCTGATAGTTTTTTATTTTGGCTACTTACAGATTCAGCCAGTATTTCATAATCTTCATAACCGCGACTTATTCTTCAAGAATAAGTCAATGCAAGATATATTTCAGATAGACTTCATCTCTGTCCAGCTAGAGAATAATAGACTTAAACATGACTGTATTGTGAAAACCAGAAGTGTGTATTTTATCACAACTATTCCATCTTCTATAAAAACAGGTTTTAATGTAAGTTTTTTGTGAAATCTTAAAACCTAAATTGATCAAATTCTGCCTATTTTATTTCACCTCAAAACATTTACTCTTGTGTGGTCCTGAATGTTATGGCTGATCTGAGTATTTTTTGTATTTTTCACTGACTTTCTGCAAATTTTCCCTAAGATCCTATTGATTGAAGTGCCTTTAGAAGGAAAAGAGAAGAAACGAAAGAAAGTCCTGTTGGCGACGAAGATTCAAACAGGAGGCGACAAGTCCAAGTCTATTTTGGATTACGTCGATGAAACTGTGAAAACTATGGCCAACACTCAAGGCTTTGTAGGTGAGTGGAAAGAAAAGATAATTGTATGTAAATGAAAATGATAAAGCACAGTGAGCTTTAGCTTCTGCATACACCTGGTCATTGTCTTTAGAGTTTGATTTCATTTTAAAGTTCTGTAAGTTTTTGGGCATTAGACTGAATCTAATGTTTGTCGACTGTAATGGAGTATGCATTGACCTAATAAAAATGAATGAGATAAAAGAAAGATATGCTACATGATATAGGTTTAGCATTTACAATAATTTATGGTAATATTTAAAAGTGAAGTAAGTAACTTTTCTAGTGGAGGGACTGTCACATTCTTTTTTGAGAGATTTTAATGTTCCACACTGAGTATGGCGTTAAACTTGTCTATCTCCATGGAGAGAAAAAGGTGATGCCTCCAGGTCAAGTTACAGGTCAGACTGTACAGAGGTGAGCACACTTACAGTTAGAATACATGTTTTTCAAGGTATTTTTTAGCAATTAAAATGTAATTGATCTGATGTACAAGGCAGGTTTATTTGTATAATACACACACATCCCCTAGCAGAAATTGTACAAGAAGTGGGAACAGGACCCAAGACTGCCAGTCAATTGATTTTGACGTATATGACAATTTACACTTTATGATAGTTTACATGTTGTTTTGCGCTGCAGGAAAGAGAGTGGTGCACATGAAGAAATTCCCCCTGGACGGAGACAATGAAGGACGAGAGGCTTCATTATTTGTAGTGCCAGCCAGTGTTAAAGGTAAGCTCCAACTATAAGTAAAAAATATTATTTTTATCTTTTATCCAATAAAACGCAATTACGCAAAATTGACTCTTCTGAGCTTTTAGTCATGTTAGAATGTTGTTACCTCCTCACACACCTAGAGTTGTGTTTTGTTTCATTCACAGATGCTTGAGTAACCCTTTATTATTAGTCCGTCTATATTTCCAAAGCTCAAAATGCTCTGTTCCACCTTGTGATGCCATGAAGCAGTCTAGTAGGTATTGACAATTACAAAGCTGATTCTAGTGAAGGTGTATGGAGTTTAAAACCATTTAAAACTGTATTATCACTTAATATCACAAGGTGATATTAAGTGATAAAAGTGTGATAAAAGTGTGTGAATGAAACAAAGCACACAACTCCAGGTATGTCGGTGATGAGGAAACAACATTATAGCATAAAAAATTGTGTAACGTGGGCCCTTTTACTTAAAACTGCACCTATTTCTTGTTTTGGACAGATAATAGCAAACCTGTTTACAATGCTGGAAGCCCCAACTTCTTCTGCCTCCAGGACATCATGAGAGTCTGCAGTGAGACCAGCGCACACTTCTGTCCAATGACCTCCAAGATGCTCCTTGCTTTAGATAAGTAAGAAACACCAAACAGAAAACTATAGGATGTCTCAATGTCAGAATGTAGAGTTATGATTATAGTAATTGTTGAAAGTACATTTAAAACATGCCACATTTGTGAATAGACTTAAGATACTGAGTTTAATTACATCAGGATTCCTACATAATAAGACCCTTTGTGATCTGCTAATTGTGGCCATTCAGATTGCTATTTGAGTTTGATAAATCTTGCCCTCCTAATTAAAACTTCCCCTCTGACTTTGTTCTAGGTGGTTAGCAGAGCAGCACACAGTAC